CCAATTGCTGAATGATGTGATAAAACTATTAACTCAACAAGTGATTTTTCTACTTCTGATATGTCAACTTTTTCAGTAAAAGTAGTGATGGCAGTGAGCACTTTTGAGAGCCTATACGCATTAACGGCAGGATCTGCATGCGCAGTTGCCGAAGCTAATACTGCCGTAGAATCTTTAACATTCTTTTCTAGCTAAGAGAAATTTAAATCATTTATACATTTTTTTTTTTTTTTTTTTTAAAAAAAAAAAAATTACTCATTATTAAATCATAATGAAAATAGAAATTTTTATTTGACATACGTTAAACACCCAATTAGTTAATCCTTTCCGAACTATTTCGCCCACAAAATTTGGGTTTGTTTGGAGGCATGTCTTAAGGGTATCGTACGCCTCACGACAAGCCTGACGAGATGTCGATATCATATATATAAAGGCAGTAGCTATGTACACTCTAAAGATAATTTATATGTTAAATAATAATTAAATATTAATATCGACTAATATTAAAGTGATATTTACTTGATATCCTCTTTTTGCAATGAACCATCATCATCTTGATTAAGAATTATGCTTTCAAGAGATCGAATAAACCAACTACTCTCATCAATAGTAGCAAGCTTTGAATATATCTTATCCCAAAACAAAAATGAAAGTTTGGGTGAAGTAGCCAAAATGTTTTGTTTAAATTTCCTTGCTCGAATTAATTCATCTGATTTATTGTGTAAATAATATCACTTTATGTTCCAATATAAATTTCAATGGAATTAATCTAATTCTTTATTTACTTACTGATTTCATCATCATTCCAACATTTTGCTCTTCCTTCTACAATGGCAACTAATATATAACCTTCAATTGGCCCACCAATAAAATTAAGTGCATTGGCTTGAATTTTTTCCACAGTCGACATAAGGGGTACAAGGGATTTTAAAATTACATTACGAAGTGAGACCGATGGATATCCTGTCTCTTCCCATGCAAGTCGCCCTATTACAGTAGCCCATGCTTTCCTCTCGCCGGTTTTGGCACTAGCCAATCCTTCTATAATAAAACCTGTAACTTTTTCGATAAGAATTTGATCTTCCGTTTTTAATAATAATTTAAGATGTAAGCCTAGAGTATCAATAGCCTTAGCTAAAGAGTATTCATGGCTTTCCTTTAAAATAATTGGTAATAATCCTTCAATCACAGTTTTGGAGAGGTTAGGTGTTTGATATATGTGACTCAAAGTTCTAAATAAGATGAAGCGATGCTCTGGGTTGGCCACTTTTGCAGTCCCTATAAAAAATAGTAATAAAGTAAGTCTTTAAAAAAGAAAGAGAGATTTACTTCACAAATAAGAAGTCATCCAGATTTACTGTATATAGTCATCATTGATAGCACTGACCTCCACTTAATGCTTGGAGAATGTCCTTAACAATATCGACTAGAATGTCATCATTGCGACTTTTTTCGATAAGTATATTTAATAATATTATTGCATCATTTTGTACCACTTTATTGGTGGATCGAATTTGTACAAGTAAAGGTTGCAGAAAATTTTTCTTTAAAAAATTAGACAAATCAAAAGATAAATATTTGACTAAGGATGTCAAAACTATTAATATAAAAAATAATAATAATAATTAGCGAGGTACTACGTATAAGTGAAAAATTTTCAATTTTAATAATGAAAAAATAACAAACCACTCAATACGATTTCAGGCGCTCTTAGGAGAAGTTTTTCGAAAACCGGAATCAACTTTGTCTGAAAATCATCTTCCGTGATTATATATTTTATAAAATCACGTAGTGCATCCTATAGCAAAAAAGTAAGATTGAATCAAATTTGATTAATGGAAATGTAATTACGATATGAATTCAAAATACCTTTGATGTTTGTGGCACAGGAGTTTTAGAAGATGCAATACTAGTTATATAAAATTGTATAATTTCATTCTAAAAATGTTTTTTTTTTTTTATGAACAAGTTCTTTAATATCTTTGAAAGAAAAGTTTATTAATATGCTCATTAAGATCGCAAACCGTTAAACACCTTTGCGTTTTCCACAAAAGTTTTGCCGTTTTCCTTTTTGAGTCGCAAAGAACAATCAACAACTGTTCCAAGTAAGACAGCATCACATTGTCTCATATTGGATGAAAGATATTTTATATATGAGGGAATATGTAATGCATTCTGTATGAAATTGAGCAAATTACTTATGTATCAAAAGCAGATCAAACAGATCGAATGAATATTGTTACATTAATTTATATATCCATCTACCTTGCGAATACAATGCCTAACACCAACTAATGCACTATTAGTCACACTTCTCCGTTTTTCACTTTCATGAACTAATGAATGCAAAAGTATTGCCTGCGCATCTACTAAACTCTTCCAATGTGGCGATGATTCAGCATTGGTGGTAGCCGATAAAACAAAGTTGATTAATATATTAACCCACGTAAGAAGAACAAATCGAATAGCGGATGATGTTGTGTACGTGGTACTATATGTAAAATATTTAAATAAGAAAAATTCTTTTAAAAGTTTAAATTAATAATTATTTCCATACCAATCAAGACTCTTTTGGTTTAATTTATCAGCTTCTTTAACAACCATTGGAACAAATGAATTTAAAAAAAGCTCAGAATTCCAATTATTGAGCTCTTTTAGAATATTCAATATGGCAAGACGTGAAGGCCTATCATTATACCGGGAGCAAGTTAGGAAGATAAGGTGAAGAAGACTTCCAAGTAAATTTTCAGTGAGATCTATTTTATTTTTTACAAGAGATATGGTATATAAGGAATAGCAACAACTAGAGTCAATGTGAAAAATTGAGGATTGTATTAATTCTAATTACCGCCGGCTTTTATTCGGGGTAATAGCGAGTGATTCAAAAACTCAAGACGATGTGTGACGTTCGAGCTTGTAATGCTGTATAAAGCTCGAGACTTTAAAAATTTAGCCCAAGAAAGATCAGCCAAACCAATATCAACTATATCAGGAGAATCCATTATTCTTGGTCTCAAAAGGCAGGCCGCAGTAACGATTAGTTATAAAAAAGATTTTTTTTTTTTTTTTTTTTTGCATAGCTGATAGCGATAGAATAAGGATTTTCGATCTGATAAAATAGGAGTATTCGATTGGTTGATTTTTCTCACAGTGTCGATGTAAATTAGAAGGGCAAAATAACCAGTGTTGTCACTGGAAATAAAATTAATAGAACCTTTACTATTACAAAACCTCATTGGAAGGCCAGAAATTCCCACTGGAAGCCAAAATTGACAACACTGTAAAATAACCGTTCGTGTTTTTAAAGGAATTGTTACGGACATCAAATTATATGTTATAAAAAATTAATACAGTCAGACCTCTCTATAGTCACCTCCTCTATAGTCGCATTTTCTTATAATCACATAAATTTTAAAACCAACTTATAC